AGGGACACGGACAGACTCCGGCACCGGACGCCGCTGCAGGAGGCGAGGAAAAAAGGCAGCTGTGTGCCGAGCACTCGCAGTGCATAGCCACGCAACCACGACGCCGAGAACCGCAACCGCAGCACCGTTGGCACGAGCAGCAGAAAGAAGGCGCAACCCGCAGGGCAGCAGCGCCCGCCCGGTCATGGAAGAGGCACAACCAGTGCCCGGGCTATAAGCGATCGCAAGCCCCAAAGTCCGAAGACCCGACTGCATCCAAGGACAAGCCACACAAGGCGGCAAAGCTAACGGCGAACGGCTGCCCTGCAACAGCCGAGGAAGTCGGCCACCCGGCAGCACGATTCAGCCGCACCGAACAAGAGCACCATGCACCCCAAATGCCCAGGCGAACAGCATCCACCGCGGACACCGGACGCCCGTCCACGAGACCGGGCTCTACGCATCGTGCTACACTGGCACCTCGAACCAGGACTGCATCAGCGACTCCAAGCAGAGCTCTGGCACCAGGCTTGCCAAACGTGGTGGCGAAGCTGGAAGGCCGACGGCTGTCCCGCGAGCTACACGCAAGAGGCCAAAGCGGGCATGATCCAGATCGCGGCCCACCACGCACAACATCCGGCCCGCATGATCTCGACAAGCAACACCTTCGCCAGTCCTTCCATCCGGCTGGAACTTCGGAAAGCGCAGATCGCCCTGCTGGAGGCTTCCGAAAGCGACATGCGCAACACAATCGGGACCATCGCAGCAGCACGCCGGAAGCCCGTGAAATAGACGCGGCGGCGCCGGCAAACAGAAGAGAGCAGCCGTCTCCTCGCCAGAACAGGAAAAGCCGAAATGAAGTTTGGTTCACCGCGCATGGATGCGACCAGGGAGACACAGCGCACACGCTGCAACCCGCGATCGGACGCAACCACAGCGCGTCCCCGCAGCCACAAACCAGCCATCAAGGTAGAATCTCGCCAAGAAAGACCTTAACGCCATGGCTCCCGTGAAATCGGCGACTCGGAGTAAAGATGGTTCTATGCTCGGGAAAAGATCCTGCGACAGCACACAGCTCCCGAGCAGCAAGCTGAAGCCAGCCAAGCCAAGCCGCCCGATCCAAGGCAGAAGCAGCGACGAGAACCGCCACGGCGGGCACAACATGTCCCGGAAGCCTGCCACCCGCACCGAAGGAGCAAGCGCCGGATTGCCGTCCCACGCAGCCGACGACCGCCGCCGGAACCCCAGAGACAGCAAGCTTCGGTCGTGGCAAGCTATGAGCACCACTGCCGCCACCGAGGACACACAAGCAGAGGCCCCGCAACAAGACGACGAGCTGACCGCGACGGCGAAGGCCACGCTGCAAGCGCCTCCGTCCACAAAAGAAGAAGCCGCAGGGGAAGCCCCGGAAGCCCCGGAAACCCCGGAAGCCGCGAAAGCAGCGGGTGCCGCGTCCCCGACACCCAGGTGACGCTGCAACAGGACGTTATGGATGACGAAGAAAAGAAGACGACTCCAGAGAAGACACCGACGCTCGGAGACCGGATCATGGTGACGCAAGAAGCCTGGTTGGCGCTCCTGCTGAATGGATGGAAGACCATGGAAGTCCGCAGCAGTCCGGCGCCGCCAGGACCCATCTGGCTGGGCTACGCCGGCCGCTTATACGGCTCCGCAACAATTAGCGAGTGCCGGAAGCTGGCACCGGAGGATTTCGAAAGCACCAGGGATCAGCACCGGCACGTGGGCCGAATCAACCAGGACGACACGCTGTACGGCTTGCTGCTGACGGACGTCGTCCCGCTAGCACAGCCAAGAGACTTCTACCGCCCCCCAACTTCAAAATCCTGGGAGGTCTTCCGCAACGGGCCGGAAGAGAAAGCCCCCCGCAAAAAGAACCACAAAACGCCGGGGACCCTAGACAACGCCCTGCGAGATCGGACAGAGGGCGGCGAAGGTGCAGAAGATAAGGCCGTCGAACCATCTCCAGGCGAGGCCATGCCCCGCCGGAAGCGCCAACGCCGCGTGCCAGCTCTCCCACTTCCATGACCAATATGGAAATCGCCGGCCAGTACAACTGAGCGCAAAGCGGTAGGTCTTTTCAGAAAGCACCAGGAGTGAGCTCGCCAGGCAAAGCGGCCCGAACCCCGCGGCCCGAGCTACGACGCCGAGCCTGAGCACGGACAAAAAGCCCGGTGCAGATGGCGAGAGGCACGGCGCGGCCCTGCGACAACAGGACACAGAGGCAAGCACGACATGAGGAGCACCGACCGCAGCTGTTCTGACCCATAACAGGGCGGGTAGCCGAGAGCGCACAGGCCCCGAGTCCAGCCAGCACGGCATGACTCGCAAGGAACACGGCAGCCGCGCCATGCCCCGACGGACGCCGTGGGCAGACATGGAGGACGGCAACAGAGACCCGGGGGCCTAATAAGCACCTCCGACTGCACCGTGCCAAGGATAGCAGCAACACGGAGACTGCCCGCGCCCCAGCTCCATCGGCCGCACACGCAGCCTCGGCAAGCGAGCTTCGCTCATCAGGCAGAGAAAACGTCCGCAGCATCGGCACGGACCAGCGAGGACCCGCGGACGGAACCGCACGTCAGAGACGCAGGACATTGCGAACAGAGGGCAGAAGAGAAACGAGCCGCCAGGAGCAACAGGCCGAGAACGACGTGAAAGCCTCGCAGCCCCAGAAGTGGATGGCGGAGCAGAAGACACGCTGCAGCCGCAAGAAAGAGAGCCAGCAGCGGCAAGGCTCTCAGGCGAGAGGCGGCCCCTGAGAGCGAACGCATCTCTGTCTGCTCGAGCCTCAGGAACGCCACCAGGACCTTTTCCGACGCCACGCAACACCAGACGATCCCACTCCAACACTTCGCGGCCGGCGCCGACGCGGCACGGAGCCCCTGCCTCAGGACCCTGCATATAGCATCGGCCTCAGAAGCCCAGCGCCAAGCCCCAGAAACACCGCGCCTGCTGCGACCGAAGGCGAGCCGCAGCAACCTGACGGGCAAGCCTACTACTACAGCCTACACGAAGAAGTCCAGCAATTCGTCCAGGCAGTCATGTACCACGAGCTGGAGCAAGAACAGCTCAAGTGGTGGCAGGACACCCTCAAAGAACGATGCCGCTACCACCGCTTCCCGTGTCGAACCTGGTTCGAGCTCGTCTACAAGTGGCAGCCAGTACTGGCGCCACCAGAACCAGCAAGCAGCGCCAGAGCAGAAGGGGATCGGGCACAGCCGCTGGCAGCAGACGGCCCGCCCCAACCGCAAAGCTCGCAAGCCCGGCCAAGGCCGCAATCCTACAGCATCCCGTGCTACGTCCCCATCATGCTGAACTACGAGCACGACGGCTGTCCCGGGCAAAAACCCAGCATAAGCCTGCACCGAGTCTAGCGCCGGCACAGCCCCCTGAGAGCTAGCGCAGACTGTACAGTAATGGGCAACAGCACGCGAGAGACAGAAAAAAGGGCGGCCGCGGGGCAGGATGCAGGGCCAGCAGAGGAAGGGCGCCGCACGCATGACAGCGCCAGGGCCAGAATAAGACCTAGGCAGCCGCGCCCTCGACGCAAAGACACCGTAGCTAGGAGGCCTGCCAGGCGACGGCACCACCCAGCACCGCCGCCGCCGCCATAAGCTCCGCGCACTGCCACGCCACCACGGCCCCACCGTACAATCGCCCACGCAAAGCACATGGAGGCCGACGTCCCCTGCCACGAGCAGTCCAGCACGGAGACGGAGAACGCAGACGCGGAGCCCCAGCACGAAGAGCACAAGGTCAGCCTGCTCACCGAGGGCCTAGATCACCTGCTGCCGCTCAACCTGGTCAGAAGCCCAAACGCACCGACAGACTTCCCAGCTCGCGGAGAAGGACCATTGCCGCCAGACCTACCAGGCAACTTCGTTGCGGACAGGCTCCAGCACGTGAACGCCCACACGAGAGATGTGAACCTTCGCTTCGACGAGACAACACACACCTACTTCTGGAAGACCAGACGCGTGCGAGAGTCCGTGACGCAGGTAATCCACGGATACGCCGCGGGATTCGACGCGGACAAGACGCTCCAAAACATGATGGAAGGCGCCCACTGGCCCAGAGCCGGCTACCTCAGCATCACCCCGCCACCGGACGTGAGAGACAAGATCGGCCAACTGGCCAGGGGCCCCCGCATCCTGGCGATGCTCGAACAGAGCGACCAGGACGACGGGGAACTGGACCGAGAACTGCAGGAGGCCCTCCAGCAGGCAGGCCCGCCACACGCAGCCGCGCTGCGCGCCCTCGCTATGCCGAGTGACGACGTGAAACGAAAATGGGAAGCCGCCCGCGACAAAGCAGCCAAAGAAGGGACGTGGATGCACGCCCAGTTCGAGTGCCTGCTGAACGGAGGGACTGTCAAGGCGATGACACCGGAGATAAGCCTGCTCTTCAAGTTCCTAGACAGCGTGCGACACGCGACGGCCTACAGAACGGAATGGAAGATCTACGCCGACGACATCGACGTAGCCGGCAGCATCGACCTCGTCCTACAGCAGGCCGACGGCAGCCTGGCTCTCGTGGATTGGAAGCGGAGCAGCAGAATAGCAAGCCGAGGAGAGCACTTCAACCGCTACATGAAACCCCCTCTGCAGCACCTGGGCGACAGCAGCCTCACCCACTACCACCTGCAGATCAACATGTACCGATGGATCCTGCAGAGGCACTACCGGAAGATCGTGACAGAGATGTACATCGTTGGAACGCACCCCGACAACGGCCAGGAACCGTGGGTGCAGCAGGTCGAGCTACTAGACAAGGAGATCGCAGACCTCGTAAAGGACAGAAGCAGGGTGCACGACAACGTGCGGGACGAACACACAGACTAGTGCCGGACACTCGCAAGCCTCGGGCGCCAAAAGGAGGGAAAAAGTGCGAGCGTGGTCACAGGAGCACCGCATGCAAGAAAGATAGGACGGAGGCGAGCACGAACCGCACGACGAAGAGCTGGCGGACAGGCACACCAAGAGCCCTCGACGCCCCAAACAATGCCGCAAGCAACAGGGCTCGAATCCGAGCGGAAGCGATCGGCGGCCATGGCCTTGCAGCCCTCAGAGGACGCAAGCGTAGGCTCCACGAAGCGGAAAAGCCAGGAGCTCCTTCTCCTACGCGTGGTCAATCTTGCCGGTCAACAACTGCTGGAAGCCACGCTCGAGGCGCCGGAACAAGCGCGAGTGGTCAAAGGCCGGCTACAGAGAGAGACAGGACTCCCACGCTTTCGGCAGAAACTGCTGGGGCCAGACGGTCCCCTGGACGACGAGGCTCTCATATCCGCCCCCGCCGACCTGCAGATGATCAAACTACAGTACACCCAGGCCGACCACAAAACCACGGCAGAAATGATCGCGGCCGCACGAAGCTCCAACACGTTCAGGCTAGAGCAACTCCTGAGCCGCCCGCTGGACCCGAACTGCATCAAGACGTTCCCCACGACGACGCCCCTGCAAGCCGCAACCAAAGCAAATCGCACGGAAAACATGAAACTCCTGCTCGAAGCTCGGGTCAACGCCAACACGGACGAAGACCACGGCCTGCTGCTGCAGGCAGCACAGCGACAACAAGAAGGGACAGTGGAGCTCTTGATCGCAGCCCGCTGCCACTTGGAAACGCGCAACCGCAATGGTACAACGGCCCTCGCAGCAGCAGCACGCAAGAGCAGTACCGCGATAGTACGCAAGCTCTTGAATGCCAGGGCCGACATGGAAGCCCCGAACGCCAACCGACGCAGACCGCTCGCCCTGGCCGCATGGGGAGGTCATACGACAAACGTGATGATGCTCCTCCAGGCCCGCTGCAACCCGCTGCTAGCGGAGCCGGGAAACCCGGACGCGATGCCCACATCAACAGCAAAGCTCCTTTTCCAGAGAGCACTCGGGAACGCAGGCAGAAGAAACATGCAGGAAGCACTTGCAGACCAACAACTATGGCGCCGCAACCAGGCAAACAAGGAAGCGGCGAAACTCACACCGACCGCCCAGACCGACCGCGAGCACAGCTCCTCAGCGCCGACACCGGCCATCAGCATCGCCCATGCGGTACAATAGCAGCTCCAAAGCAGACACGACACCAGGAGGCCGATCGCTTTTGCAGACAAGCAAAAGCAGCACAGGTCGCGGCCGAGACCGTGGGGGACAGACTGAACGGAGAGCCTACATGCGACACCGAAAAAACCGTGCCTGGCTGGCTGGCTGGCTGGCTGGCTGGCTAGCAAGCTGCGGGACGGGCTGGATCGGCATGCAGGGCACCCGCCCAGGCAGAACACGGACCCGCACGAGCCAGCGGGCACGATTCGCTGCAAAGACCATGGCGAGGGATGGCAGAAGGAAAACAGCGCACAGGTCGAACCCCAAACAGACCCGGCTAGCATGCCAGCGAGGTAGCCTTGCACGAATGCCCAACACATCCCGCCCCAACAGCATCTCCTCGCACGCGGCCGCCGCAGCATCTTCTCTCGAACGGTTGCGCTCGCCCGTGCTCCCGCGCAGACCTCAGCACGCGCACGTCGCCGCAGATGAAACGCGGCGGGCGTCCAGCAACCGGTGCTCCTGAGGCCGACCGCCACGACCAGGATGTCCGACGACATGGACGAGGAATCCCCCTCCTCGAACCCCTCCACCCGCGACTCCGACCAGGTGTGCTTCACGGACGACTACGAGAACTCGGAAATGGAGAGCAGCCGCAAGAAGATGCAGAGACAGACCGACGAAGACATCCAGAGCTTCGAGGACGCAATCATGCCGAACATGACGGTGACCTACACGGACGCAAAAGGCGGTGAACTCCACACCTCGAGACCCTACCCAAGCTACCGTTTTCGCGAGCAGGCCCCCTTGCAACCAGGAAACCATCGGGACCGGTTTCTATCCCTCCCGGAGCTGCGCACAATACGGCAGCACACCAACAAGCCCCCGCCCGCAGAGGTGCTACGGCATCGCAGCCCCCGAGAAGTCCTGCTCCACGACCTGGACAGCAGCAGCACCGGGCCGATCGACCTGCATGCCACCAAGCTGATGTTAGACGGGAACGTGATCACAGACGACTGGAGCTGGAGCAACATCCTCGAGCACAGCATCACCGCCCAGATGGCACACGTGGAAGTTGTCGTCCACTGGAAGGAAGCCAGCCGCCGGAAACCGAAAAGGCCGCCGAGCCCCAAGCCCGGGCCACGTGCATCGACTCGTAGACGTAAGTGAAAGGCAGTAGGTGCCGTGTGCACAGGCCGGCCGAGCACCAGCGTCTCGAGCACCAGCTACACTAGGGGACCGAGCGGCAAGCGCACGATGTACAGCACCCCCGGAGACCAGAAGAGCCGCAGCAAGGCAAAAAAAGGAGAGAGCCGGCAGCAGGCGCACGGTCATGCCCAGCATAGGCGCCAAAGCACTCGCCGAACCGCACAAGCCAGACTTGGAGCCGCTGCACGACCAGACACACGCAGGCCTGCTCGCAGTCATATGTCAGCCGGCCCAGGCAAGAGCGCGACCGGACACCTCGGGCCGCGGCCACCATTCGCCAGCAGCAAGTCAGCAAGGCGGCAACAGGCTCACAGCTCAACGACAAGCAACCCGGCACGACGGCAAAGCCACAGGAACGATGTACTCACACGCATAGCAGCACCTGTAGCGAGCAGGTCCCACAAACGTACGGAGGGCCGGTCACCCTAAAGCACGCGGGTGCCTACAACCGCAGAGCACCCCGGACACGCCATGGCCGATGCTGCGAGGACGAAGACTCCCAGACCGGGGCCGTTTGCACGACGAACACTGAAGAAAGCATCGTCGCCAGGGCCTTTGCGCATCACCATGCTGAGTGGAGAACTCCTGGGCGAAACAGACGCACGGCGGCATCGGACAGCAAGGAAGCTGGCGACGTACGTAGGGGAGTACTGCTGCGCCACGCCGGCACCGAAGCAGACCATAAGGCTACTGCACGCCGGACGAAGGCTGCAGGGCGGGAGACTACGCATCGATGCCACATCAACCGTGCAGGCCGTCTTCCTGCCCTACGTCCAGATACACGACGGCTCGAGGGAGTCGGAAGACTTCCGCTTGGCCCTGTGGAACAGAAACACCTCGAAGCTGAAAAAAATACTTTGGCGGCCACTGGACCCCAACACCGTCTTCCAGCAATTCTACCCGACGCCGACTTCGGGACTGGAACTTCTCATGCTGAACCAGAACAGACCCTGGTCGCTGCCTGCCCTACGAACGTTGCTGGAAGCCAAAGCAAAACTGGACCGACCCGAAAACAAAGACGTGCTGGCCCTCGCCGTGAGATATGCGCCAAGCAGCCACGTGGAGACGCTCCTAAAGCACCGGGCCGACCTGGGCGGCTCCGCGGATCCCTGGCGGCCCCTGGACATAGCATGCCACGACCACCCCGAAAACCTGCTACAGGGCCGTCCACATCCAGGCAAGATCACGATGCTGCTGGCAGCCCGAGCCGATCCCACGCGAATGCTCGAGGACCCGACCAGCTGGGCCCAAAACCCAAGCCACCCAGACTGGTCCTACGGAGCCAACCCTCGAAGCCTAGCAACCCTCGTGGCCCTAGCCTGCGCAGCAGCAGCTCACTCAGACCCGGAGTGCATGCAGCAAGTCGCGCGAGCGGCAGCGAACAAAAGTGCCATCCCCTTAGAATATGTAAGCGACAGCACCCCCGGAATGCAGGTCCTCACCGCAAGCCTGTGCAGTGCAGCTTGCACAGGCAACGCCCGCAACGTGTGCTGGCTACTAGAAATGCGATGCCCAGCAAATGCACGCGTCGGCCGACACCTCCTGGAAGGTGAGTCCTGTCTCGTAACCAATGCCGAGAGTCAGTGCACAGCCTTAAACCTCGCAGTCAGAAGCGGCTCCGTCGCCGCCACCCAAGCACTCCTCCACGCCAAGGCCGATCCGAATCTCACCTTCGACGAGCTTGCCGCCCTGGACCGAGCTGCGCTGCACAAGGCACCAGCAACGATAATAGAATGCATACTAGCGGCCAGAGGCGAAGCGACCACGCCCACAGCGCACACGACATCTCCGCTGACCGGGGCGCATACCCGAGCGGCGAACCCGACAAGGCTCCTCAGCCCGGGGCCGCCTGCGGACTCGCAACCAAGCAATGCGCAAGACGTCAGACGGGCCACTGCTCACGTTGGTCCTTTCCCATGACATGTGAGACATGCTGACAGCACAGAGCTGGGAAAGAGTCGTTCGTTTCACACAACCTCTGCCGTGCGCCGGCTGCGAAAGAGCATCGCGACTGGCAGCTAAAGCAGCAGAAGGAAAAAGAGGATTCGGCTGCAAGCAGCAAGCCAACGACGCTGACATCGTGCGTGCAGCAAGAGCACACCAACCTTAACCCGGCACCGCAGCCCAATTCGTGATCGAGCCTCCAAAGCAGAAATCCGCTTCCTGAAGAACCATCTAGGCCGAAGCTGCTTCCGACAGTAAGAGAGAAAGAGCAGTCACGGTTCGCCCCCCCCCCCCCGCCCCTGCAGGTGAAGCCATCATGCAGCCCGAAAGCAGCCGACGGTGGGCCGACATGACAGACGACGACGATCAGGCGGGATCGCATGCGACACGCGCAGACGGCCCGACCCCGCCCGAAACCTCAACGGCCTCAGCGCACCGAACCACGAGGCGACCGGCTGGGACTTCGAAGCGTTCAAGAAGGACTACCTGGCGAGGAGATGCAGCCTGACACTTCTGACGCCCGTGCATGCCCCAGAGCCTCCGAAGAGAGAACCCGTGTATACACGCATGTATGTCGCGCAACTGCGCACCGAACCCACCGGCCGAGGGCGGAACAATCAAGATCGACGAGGCGCGCTGACACCTCGTGCCGTCGCCCTCAGAAATCCCAGGAAAGCACACGGGCATGCACGCACGAGGCCTGGAAAACCTCCCCGACAACCGCACCTCGACGGGACACGACCCCGCCCTCCGGCGCGAAGCCAAGAACACCCCGACGGAAGAAGGCATCACGGCCGGAATGCAAGTAAGGACTTGTGCCACGAGAAAAGCCATAGAAAAAAGAAAGCAAGCCGTACGCGGCATCGTGACCTGCAGGCCCCCAAAAAGCCACTGCCGCGCCAGCCACGATGGACGGCCGACGACGAGAGAGCCCTGGATCGTGCTTTCCAGCGAGCAGAGGCACCGGAGAGAAGCTACACCCCAAAGGCGCACAACACCTCCCCCGGCAAGCGTCTAGTCCCACTGTGTGCACAGGCCGACAGAGCCGCCGAGGCAACACCGCCAAGAAACGAAGCCGTGGAAGCGGCAAAGCTCGCAAGGAATGCCGCTGAACCATCTCACGAAGGACCGGCCGCGCGACGAGGGGGGGCCGAGGCGGGCTCCGACCACGACACGGAGCCCGGACCCAGCGTCGAGGCCGGCGTTTTCCCTCGAGCATCCACTCTCAAGAGCGCTCTTTAGGCAAGCAGACAATGCACCCGAGAGGAGCACTTTCGGGGCACGCTGGCCATCAAGAAGATGTCAGGCGACGGCAACTGCCTCTTCCACGCGCTCGGAGAGAACACCGGCGAGAGCGGGGCATGCCTCCGAGCCCTAATCATCCAGTACCTCAGAGAGAACGCAGAAGCCGAAGAAGACGAAGAGCAAGTGCAGGCCTGGCTACAGGAAAGCCAATACCTCCAAAGCGATCCGGGTCACTGGGGCGGCGACACGGCCATCATCGCTTTCACCCGCATGAGGCAGCAGCGAGTCCTTTTGCACTGGCGGACGCCAAACGGCGACATCCTCACGAGCGAGCGCACGCACTCGGACGTGGACGAAGCAGCCCAACGCGGGCCGCACGCAGCACCGAACGCCACGGAAGTGATCCATCTCTGGTACAACGGCAGGGACCACTACGACCTGCTGGTGCCCATAGACCGAGCACCGCCACCAGCACCACCACTGCCACCACCACCACCACCACCACCACCACCCCACCCGATTCCGCGCCCAGCCAAGCGCAGAAGAACCGCCGCCGGCGGAGAGGAGGCCCATCAACAGGCCCAGGCGCGCAAGACGCCGTCGAAGCCGGCGACACGACCGCC